ACAAAAGCAATGTTTTGATTTTCATTAGTTAATTTTCAGTAAATTATTATTAAGTTATTCAAGTGACCATTGTGGGTTTTTCTTTCTTTAACGGAAGGGTACAAACAATTTTGTCCCCATGTGTAAGTATTATCTGCATGTACAAACTTCCTCTTATTTTATCTTGAAGTGAAATAAATAGTTTCATGACAAAAAAAAAAGAATAAGTGGACTGATAATAAGGTCATTGTGACTAAGGTGATTTACCAGTGGTGTTGTCCAGAATGCGCTGGATAAGGACAGGATACTTGGAAATCCGTTGAGTCACCAACAAGATGCACTCCTGAACACCGTGGCAACGTAGCAAGGGTCCTCGACTCACCCGCTGCCCAGAAAAAAAAGACACACACTGACAAAATTATCCTAGCTGTCATTTCTTTGTCATTTTCTCACCACATTTCTCAGACCTTTGAGGATACAAAAAAACATAACTTTTTATTATATTTGCTGAAATTTTCACTGTATCCCGACAGTAGTACATGAGACAGATAATCTGTCAGGTTCCTTTGGATCCTCCTAGTGCTCCAGGCATTTGCAAGAGTCCACCGGAATCCACAGATTATCTGTCTCATGTACTACTGTCAGAATACAGGGAAGATTTCAGTAGTATTACAAAAAGTATTTTTATAAAAGTTACCTACTGCAGCTTTAAAGCACCAGTGTGTAGGATTTAGTGGCATCAAGCGGTGAGATTGCAGTTTGCAACCACCTGAAACTCCTTGACTTAACCAAGCACAAAGGAGGAACCACAGTGGCCAGGAAACCCACAAAAGATCCTATTTAGAGCCAGTGTTTCATTTGTCTGTTCAACATGGTGGACTATCAACGTTCCCTCTGTAGATAAAAACTGTTCATTCTAAGGAAACAAAAACACATAGATTCTTATATTCAGGTGATTATACACTAATGAAAACATACCTATGATTTCTTTTTCTTCCAATAGATCCTCCTAAATTTCGATCTCCTCTATTTGAAAAGTGTCTTGGATAACTTCTGTTATGAATTGGAACTGTACAAAATAAAATTGAATTGAATTGAACTGAATTAAATGTTACACACTGGACTTTTAAGTAATAGACAGGTAAGTAAGATACATAAACTGGAAAAATGAGAAGCAAAATAGCAATGAAAAGAGTTACAATGTTTTAGACTTCCATTTTCACTTTCTTTAAAAACTGTAAAATGTTTGGCTTTATGTGCATGGTGACCTGGATTCTACAGTTAAAATTGCAATTCCTGTTGACAGTTTGCCAGCTGCTACTTCCTGTCATTTCAGAGGATTCTTTGCCTGCCCTGCAGTTTCCTGCCTTCAGTCATGGCCTGACCCCCACACCCACCTCCCAACCAGCTACCAGCTTCCCAGCACATACACCTCCCTGCAAGTGTTTAGAGCAGCTGTTGTCAACCTGTGGGCCGGCAAGCAAATACACACAATATAGATAGATGATTTTATAAAAAAAAATCTTAAAAACAACTGAAAGAATTATCCCTATCAGCTATATTTACAAGAAA